GGAGATTGGTTGCTTGGCTAGTGGGAGGAGGAGGTGTTTGGTAGCCAATGAATCACCTGAGAAGATATTTATAGTTGGAGGAATAGGAGAAGACAGTGTTGAAGAATGTACTCTTTTCAATGCAGCTGCTTTCATTTTCATATAGGTTATTTAGGAGTATGTGCATAATAGCTACAAGTTATAATTTATATAGCTAACACAAGGAATATTTTTGCCAAGCGAGTGTTGAATGCGCAGTTTAACACACAAGTATGTGAAAGGCATTACGGTATACACAATGCCCAGTGCAAGGCTGGTTAATGCCTGCCAGTAACATTCGCACAATATCACTAATAATAATTGGGATCTGCTAAAATCTCTCCTACTTCTGGCATACAAACTACTAAAACTGCAACAGAAATACAGTTCTAGCTAGCTAACCGAACATTTTCAGAAATTGATCTTTCTGGAATTAATTTTGTCGCAGCTTGGAGATGTGAAATCAGCACCCACTGCATTTTGCTGAGACCGAGTCTTTTCCTAGCATACACATCCATCCGTCCATCAATAAATGAAATGCATTTCATCGTGTAGTGTAGGTCATCTGCATTTTGACTTCTCTCATGATGCATATGACTATCAGAAGAGCACCCTTCTCTCTTGCTATGTGGCCACAAAATGCTCAAAAGTTGCCTGCATTGAGGCCTATGTACCTTTGAGGCCTATGTATATATACAAATAGCTTTAAAAGAAATGCGTTGTGTTGGCATACATATTCCGTACATTTCACAATGAGGTAAGTTACTTTCTCAACTCTCAGAACGTAGTACAGTGGGTCCCGTTAATATCATACCCGCGGTGCATCCAAAAAATATGATAATATGCGGGATATTCTATAATAGCGGCGCGTATACTGTGTATACTCCAGGTGTGTATACAGTGTATAGCATTATTGTGAACTAGATAGCGCACAATGCAGTTTGTTTACCTAAGCTAATGTAGGTAGGCTAGCTCAGCTGTTTACATAAGCTAATGAAGCCAGGTGGAGAATGGAGAGTTGCAAAACTCCAGCCCAACGTTGTAGAATGCCTAATTACGCATGTGCAATAATGACAATATGCGGGCAAAAACCAAAATTGCTCAATTTTTCTATGGTAATAGGCGGGATATGACATTATCCGTATTCTATAAAACGGAGTAAAATGTATGGGAAAGTATAGGAAATGGTTTTGGATTTCGAGTTTGTATGGTTATAAACGGGATATTCTACTAAACGGTATGATATTAAGTGGGACCCACTGTACCAGCTCTACCACCACACCCTCTACCCTATTGCACACTATACGAGATAGTTAATCTACAACCTACAGCTAGACCAAGAAAAATATTGCTGTACAGGAACATGTAAGACTTTACCTCATGGAACAAAGCTGCATACATGCATTGTGTAAAATTAAAAGTACAGCAGCAGGCATATTGTACCTTCTGCATGAGATCATCATGCCACTTTATCAGTATTCATAAAAGTTTAGCATCTAGCTACCGTGAATTCTGTTGGTTCTCATAATACTCAGAGCATTCCTGGCCACACAATGACGTGTACACCTGCACCATCACTACCTGCACAACAACCAGCACAAGTGCACCGTGTGCATGCACATGCTATTCATTTCTATAATGATTATTAGAGTGTCATGCACTGAGGAATGCATCAGTGTGATATTCAAAATGTGTGCTCATAGGCATGTGTGTGTTCCTCGATTATTGTTTGTTGTCAAAAAGCCTTCCATGTTAAAAAAGATAATCACTGACAGAAAGTATGACATGAAGTTACAGGCATTCGACTTTGTGTCTCCCTTCAGTTAAAGGTTCAATGCCGCCATAAGAGCAAGATACCACCTCGTTGCATGCACAGAGGATCCGTAGCAACTGACGGCAAATTTGCGTACTTTACATCACATGACTCCACCTCACTCAACATGTATCATTTTGATACCGAGCAACTTGTATCGTGCCATTATCAAAACTCTGGACTAATCATACTTTAAAAATCTTGAACCGACTGCGGTGGGAGGACGAGAAGCATCGTTCCCCACCAACAAACTGCTCACACTTCGGCAGAATGAACTATGGTGCGAGACTTATCCGCTATGAGAACTGCACGTTCCAGCCCTGCTGTAGTTAGTACGTCTGACTGCAGCTATGTTACTGTCATTGGAGGGTGCATTAATATTGACAACTGGACTAAAACTGTTGAAATACTCACAAAGTGAAAAGCAAAAAGTGGTACAAAGTAGACAATATGCAAGAACCTCTCCCTTTTCCTTCAGCCGCAATATGTGGTGATCAATTGCATATAATAGGAAGTGATACTCATGGCTACTCATGCTCTCTTCTACAACCAGTATCACAACCACCACTGCACTCTATGTCACCTGCATCTACATGGAGAGATCTCCCCACTCTACCTCAGATGGATTCGACAGCAGCAACTCTGTGGAGAGCTGGTAGTCATCGGTGGAGGGTTTGGAGAGTCATCACTTTACTGTATACACCAGCTAGTGGGCCAAAAGTGGGTGGAGATTTGTTGCTTGGCTACTGGGAGGAGGAGGTGTTTGGTAGCTAATCAATCACCTGAGAAGATATTCATAGTTGGAGGAATAGGAAGACAGCGTAGAAGAATGTCTGTGTACATGATATTTCAAGAGGTTGTTATAGTATATTATGTTCTATGTGGTATTTGCTTAGCTAATGGCTATAATAATTATATTATTAGTCCATCCATTTTACATGAGGAAGTACAACATGTGCACAAAACACATGAGTCTTTTCACTGGTTATTGATAGCCTACCCCCTCAAGTCCCAGGCTTTGTCTCACAGCTATCGAACAGTCCTACTAAGACTAAGCCAAAGTTCAAATGGATGTCACCCCTAACCACGCTCCCATGCCAGGTGATATATATATATATATATACACATTGTGCATACAGGGAGGGAGGGTTAAGGAGGGGATAAGGTGTTTGGAGCAACCAAAAAGGACTTCGCACAATAATTTTTTGCTAGTGTGTCATCGTCAGCTCGTGCCTCACACATGGATCTCTCGAAGTTGCAAAATACATGTTAGCCGGTGTATGAGCATGAGGTGAATGCGGTATCTAGCCCCCGCTTCAACTTCAGGCACTAGCAGCTCCATTAGCTACTACTTTCAACAGTTACAGTTTGTCTATGGTAGCCTATCTACAACATACCCATGAACATCAGAGTGACTGTAACAATAAATGCAGTGTTGTCATAAGCTGTTAAAAATAGTGGAAACAAGTGGAAAAATCATTTCTTCAAAATGAAAGGGGGATATAGGGATGGCTTGAAGCACCAAAAAGGAAGAAACAAGGGGTCATTACACAGCAAAGTTGCACAAAGCTACATGACACATCCCTATATCTTTGTTTTATTGTTTATAAGCAAAGTTTAATATCGAACAATATTTTGAAGAAATGATTTTTCCACTTGTAATAATATGTGATAATTATATAGAGCGTTTTCTTGGTTGTGCTGACTCATCATTGTCGAGTGCATGCACAGAAAAGCCAGTTTTCGTTCGTGGACAAGCGGAGTTTACGAAGCATCGTTGCGAAGGTTTGCACAATATCATGTGATATTTCACGATCTCGGCAAACACTGCAATCTGATTCGCTGTCTCCAGAGGAGGTTTGCGCGTGAATCGCGAAAGAATTCCAATTAACCGGTGAAAGAATGCAAGGTCAGTGCCGCCGAGCGTGCTGACATCCAAAGTTTAGGCCACTCCAAGTTGTATACCGGTTTCTGGTCCGCCGCCAGCACCGATTTCAAGAGAACACAGTTTTGGTAATTATCAACTGCGCATGCTGTGCCGTGTATACTGCACTTGTCTCGTTTTGACTGTCTTCCCACTACGAATTTTTTGTGGCCATTATTATTACTAAGTGTACAAATTTTAATAATGAATAAACCCGCCCGCCAGCATCTTTGAAAAGGCCCTGACCAGAAACCGGAATGCAACTTGGAGTGGCCTTATGGCCGATTTTGTTACCTCATGATCCGATTGAAATCATGCAGAGAGTTGTAGGAAGTGTTGAATATTATATAGGATGAATACCAACGGAGAGTAGCTAGGAAAGAGAATGTAAAAGGGGTGGTGCAGCTAAGTTGTTAATATCGGTATGACATATTCATGAGCTGCTAGATTTTGATAATGGTAGCTACAGCATTGCATACCGCATAATAGTGTATAACGCAAAACACATTTAATAGTGAGATACAGAGAGGTACGTAAGTGATGGCTTTTCCTTGTTGTAACCCATAAAAAGTCACTATCTCTTTCATCAGACGTCTTGCTAATGCAATCGACCACCCTAAATGCGAGGACTCATACAGCACGGGGTGCAGCCGAGTGCTGTATGGGTCTCGAGACCACGGTGTTCAGTAACAAACAAATGAATAACAATGAGACATACATTCATTGCAAACATGTTAGCTACACCCTCCTTCCAACCACCTCGTAAAAGCACGGATTGAATGCTATACGTGCCTGCCATGAATTTTGTAAAAATGACCTGCAATCTCTGTGCTGAAATCGACTGTTTCAAGATTCTATAGGCGTGTATACAATGCAATGCCATACACTTTAATGATGTGTTAACCTTCCTAACCCTTTATGGCTGCACAGAGATCACAGGCCATTTTAACTACTTTTGCATAATTCATTAAGGCACATATTATCACTAAGTACGGTAGTACTTAATATATAGGGATGGGCATGGTATATACCTAGTATATTATATATATATCATTCCATCCCTGCTTTTGTGAGGTGGTTGGAAGGAGGGCATAACATGTTGCAGAGGTGAATATTGTTTCAATAAGCAATTCATTTGCTCTGTGTGGCACCACCACACCTCCTGACTCCTTGCTTGTTGGTATTTGTCCTTGTTACTCAACTTTCAGTTGCAACTACAACTATGCCAGCAAAATATTTTATGCAGGCTCAGCAGAATACACCAGGATAGAGAAAATAATTATACAAAATACCATACTAGCTATGATGGCATAGCTACACATTCTACAATAGCTAGTATATTAACTAAGTCTATATATAAATTATTATATAAAATATATATTCGCTAACTAAATACAAACTTGCAATGTCCACTCTCTAATGTGGTGTTCAAGATGTTTTCTTCTGGTTATGAGCAACACACTTTTATTAGGATGAATATCAGAAATGCAGGAATTCCATAGAGTGGTTGGTACCAAAGCCAGGTAATAATAACAATCAAAGTTGAAATGCGGAAACCATCGATTATGCTAGGAACCCACCAAAAACGACATAGGAAACACCCTAAGACATTCAGTAGAAATGCATACAGTCGATGTTGCCATGTTTTGATCCGGTTCGAATAATACTGTCTATTAAACACATCCTGTAATGAGCAAAATGCATACAACCACACCAGAAAGGAAGAGAAATGGCAGCTTATGCACGCATGAAGGTTATACATATAGCTGCAACTTACTTCGAAGCCAAGGCTCTCTTGATAGACAAAGAGTATGCCGTGACCATCAGCAGTATAGAATGGTGTTAATACTGGGCCTGGACTCTGCCTGGCTACTACAGTCACCTTTTGTCCAAATATTAAAACATGTGTCAACCCAATAACTCTATTGCTGCACTCTGCTGGTACAACAAAATGTTTTTGTGTGTTGACAAAATCAACTTGTGCAAGATACTAAGGATTTATAAGTTCCTGCTGCAGCCCTACGTAAAGAGGTATTTTAAAGGTTAATTACCACATCCTCTTTGCCTTTTACTGCTCTCCCCGCATATTTGTATGAGACACGTATATCTCCAACCTGTATCATATGAAATACTGCTCGGTTATATAGCTATTTAGAGAAGAACAATGAAAATAATGAAGCTAATGCCTGTATTGTTGCTTGCCATAACTATCACCACCTTTGGCTTTAGTCGATCTCCAGCATAAACCGTGTCTCCATAAACATTTTCCTTAGGAGTAAGGTGAAGATGCCGAAAGTTGCTTATTTTAGCTACTGCGTCATTTGATAGCTCATAGGAACCTATAGTGGATATATCAGCAGTCCATTCCATGTCTGTCAAGGGAAGAAACCCAGGGTTATGGTGATCATCAGGGTCATAAAACAGGTTGCTATTCATAACTTCGCTCCTCCAGTCTTTCTTGTAGTGGTAACTGTACTGATACATGATTTGGTAACAGCAAGCATAAACATTTAATATACCCTTTTTCCTTCTCTTCAATCCATTGATACATCTCTACGTTTCTCTTCAGTTTAACAAAGTCACCTGAGTATATTGCGTATAAGCATCATAATATAAAACATTAATGCAAGAGAGTATTTTTCTTGGTCTTTACAAAGTGCTCTCAGACAAACAGTTTGCAGAGAAAGTAGTTGAGTAATAATAATGCTTGACTGCAGTACCTGAAACGTTAAACTGGTTGTCATAGACTGGGCCACTGGTGCCAAGTTTGCCAGTAATGTAGATCAACTTCTCGTTCAGGATTGGGTTAACAATCTCGCTACTCGGCAACGGGGTGCACTCGCTCTGTGTCTCCACCAGCATATTGTAGGTATTTGCATACTCTCTCTAGACACAAAGGAACGATCTTAAAGAGGAGGGAAACGATATAGCACTCACTTCGTTCCACATGAGCCACATGCAAGCACAGATGACCATGATGATACCGAGAACCAGGACACAAGACCTCCCCCCGGTATCATCGCGGCGGAGCCCCACAGCCATCCCTACCTGGGTTACTAACTTTGTGCGCTGAGAGTGGTCTCTTGTGTATTATTGCCGTGTTGAGTTGGCGAGAGCGTTACCACTTACCAGCAATCTGCCTTGTTTAGCGGACACGGTGTTATTTTGTATTGCTTGCTGTAAGCGATGACTACTATATACGATAACATAGCTAAGCGCCATGTGATTGGCAAAAAGTTGGACTGGAAATCGACAAATCGTCGTTGTACTACTGCACATTCGCTTGGGTTAGCGCGCTTCGTGCGACAGTTACGCGTTGGCGAGAGAAATCTCATGGCCTTCTTATACTCATCTGATTCGCAAGTGACTGAGCATCTGCTGCCATCGTTCCCGCGCCACTATGAGTATACGCCATGCGCGTGAACAGAGGCTGCACACCAGCCCTCACGCGCGCGCCGCCTGCGCGGGAATTGCAATCACCAACTTACGAGCCCCATTGACTCATTTCAAAGGCATGCTCTCTCTCTCTCCCTCCTCCTCTCTTTCTCTCTGGCGTGTAAACAGCATCCGCGATGCCCGCACCCAGCTGCTCTCCCATTCTGGATGCGCTGGGTCTAAACCACCAGCTATGGCTTGATTATCCTTTGTGGTTGTTTGTTTGTTGCTCTTTTTGTCCTCTAAAGTCCGAATAGAAAAATGTGCATTGGAGAAAGTATACTGATAGCGTATATACATCATTCACATAGGTATCTATTATAATAGATATTGATTCTATTGCAAATGATCTACGAGACGTTAATGTGGGTTCCATCCTGTCCTGTCAAGACTATGTTGACTGGTATTGAAGGATTCACCATCACCAAGCAACCATTTCCCGGCCAACCCAGACACTCCACACATGGACCCAGAACCAATCCACCTGCTCGACAGACCTGGAGACAGCAATGCAGTGGGCAGGAACACTCTAAAATGATGTACATACTGGCAAATTCACTCCAGAACACCTAGCTAAGAATTTTATCTCTCGTTTTTCAAGACACTACACACGGACCCAGAACCAACACTCCTGCTCGACATACCTTGACAGGCACACTCTGTATAGAATGCAAATTCACCTACCAACAAATAGTTACTAACAAAGAAATTAATCTGTCATTTTAGACTACCTGGAGACAGCAGAGAGCCAGAGGCCACACCACGACATTGTAGCAGTCTGTTAGTCCGGGAGCAGAGAGAGAGGAGAGACAGGTGAAGAGGAGTCCACAGAGGAGTTTGCGAAGGACGTGGAAGGCAATGCAGTGGGCACACTCTAGAATGAAGACTATGAATAAGTCAGTACAGAGACGAAGGCAGGAGAAGAACTCTTGAAACACTCGACGAAGCATCTTCTCTGACCTGGATTGGTTACACACATCACTTTTTGTTAAAATGCCGTCTACATTGTCAGACACATTCTAACAAAGTTTGATTAGTGTTCAAGTGTCATAGTCAAAAGTTAATGTTACCATTTAGGGAAATATAGGTTAAAACCGTTATGTATGTGAAGACGGAGGTGGACACGCGTCATAGAACTAGTAAGAGTTGCAAAAAAATTTTGCTAAGTCAGCATCTCTCTCATAGAGAATGTATAGCGGAACAAAAGCCCACAAAAAATAAATCGACATCGAAGCAAGAAAGGATCAAACAGTTTTGGAGTTGAATAGGTGTGTGATGTGCTGCTGCGCAGTCTAGCAAAACTAATTAGATTAACAGGGAGGCGCCGTCCTGTGACACAGCAGACGCGATCGGCGCACAGACCACTACAACATATACCAAACTCTCCGGCTGACTACCTCTTTCTCTACCACGTTCTACTGACCAATCACAGTCATCAGATGCATGACTACGAACGTTTCTAGAATAATGATGTATACCGTAAGTACAAACTTACATACGCATGCCTGATAATTCCTACTCCTTCAAGGTGTTCTCCTAAAGCAAGTTCACTCGAAAGCCTATGAACCCCATTGACATTCCGTATGGTCCTGTCGAGTTACAGTGAGACTCAACTAGAAGCTTCGTGCACTCACATTGGCACTCAGCATAAAGATACAGACTACTCTACCTCTTTTTTCCTATTCGTTCTCCACACAGCGTCTGCAAAATTTCATATGCAATCCTCGTCACTTTTGCACCACAAAAACTAGGGCCATAACTGAAAAGAGGTCATGCTAAACACGCCCACGGTTTTTGGCCGTACAATTGTACTTGATTCTTCACAATTCCATTGAAAACCGTTTCCAACATCTTTTGTATGTAGTTGACTTGTTTGTTTTTGCGTTTGGGGTTATCATAACTCGTATAGTTTCACTACATGTTTTTACGATAACTAGAGCAGGGAGTGGGTCGTCATGCTTTGTGGTCCTGTGGTGTGGGGGGGTAGGAGTGGTCAAACACTCAAATTGGATAAAGAGGGTGTTAGTGGGGGTAATGAATGCGGTGATAAACAAGGTTGGATACAAATTTGAACGGGCGTATGAGAAAACAGATAGTGTACCCTCTAATAAATGTATATGTTGTTTTAACCTGTCGGCCAATCCAGCCATGACTGTAGCATGCATTTGTTTCTCTCTCTCGACAATGTCAGTTGACGACTTATCCAACAATCATAACCAACTCACACAATCCCACTGTAAAGGATAAAATATAACATATCCATTCAGTTTAATATTGAGCTGTGTTAAACAGCATACTTACTGTCTTATATAGGAACAACGTAATCATCAAGCCTTGGACATCAATGGGGCTCCTCACTCTCCATCCCTGCAACTGTAATGCTGTGATTGGTGTAAAGGGGGAATCAACCCTGAGGTATTCGTGTAGTTGAGTGGTGGATAATGGGATGGGATATTACTGGCGAGGCAGGAGAAGTGGCGAGAGTAGTATTAGATGTGGTGAATACTACTGAGGTATTGACTCTGTAATGGTGTGGGTGTCCGCAGGATTTTGTGCCGTGCAGATAATAACGAATCAACCTCGCTTCATTACATTTTTCACACCTCTCTTT